ACATAGGACCTCTATTCGAAAGTCTCATTCAAAAGACTGCATGTTTGTAGTAATCTTAGTTGGCTCCTAATGTAGAAATTACGTGTCTAATGCTCTAACAGATTGAGCATGTCTGGCTTATTATTGATATTAATGTCACACACATTTCTTTTGCTGTTTTAGTGTTCCATGTAGTATAAGCTACATTATACACATCAGCTGTTTTCGTAAGTTTTTATTAGAGTTTGATATCAAATTCAATATCAGATCCTATTTTATGTCACTGTGACACACGTCGGCTTTAACATGCACCTTGATATCACTTCTGAAAGAACATGTTGCTGTAATACATGATGTCTAAGTGTTTGAGATTTCATTGCCACTTTTACAATTATGTCATATCATAGATCTTGGATATAATATCAGCTATTAGCATAGTGTCAAAACAAATAACCTAACAGTGATATTTATATCTTTGTATCATGCTTGATAAATAAAACCAACTAATGAAATTCAGTTAATGTAACATACAACTGTACAAATGTATTTTCAGTTAACAGATAAAATTTTTTTATGACATCCCATACTTACCAGTGCCACACTTAATACTCACTGTATTTTGTCATTCATTTTATATTTAAAAATCTATAGCGGGAAATGATGATGATGTACGTAACAATATGTACATTTCTAAATAAAACACAACTTTTACCATAAATGTTTATTTCCATGATGAGTCATACAAATTTATTACAGAATATTTTGGCAGTATTGTCAGATATGTTTATATTTTATCGGCTTCTACAAGCATTTTATAGACTTATTTCTAGCCACATGTCAGATATTTGGCACTATGTATGTATTTTAGGATACATAGAGTCTGTAAATAGAAAATTATGATTCTTTTTATGGTTCCAAATGTGCCTGACTTTTCCAGATTGATTGTATTCTTTTAGCCGGCCTGATCTTGCTTATTTGTATAAATTGGATTTTTTCCATTTAGATTTTAGGATGTTACATTGACTTTTAATCCCTTTAGCCCTTACCTTGGTAAATTTGTATGAATTGGATTTTAGGATGTTACATTGACTTTTAATCCCTTTAGCCCTTACCTTGGTAAATTTGTATGAATTGGATTTTAGGATGTTACATTGACTTTTAATCCCTTTAGCCCTTACCTTGGTAAATTTGTATGAATTGGATTTTAGGATGTTACATTGACTTTTAATCCCTTTAGCCCTTACCTTGGTAAATTTGTATGAATTGGATTTTTCCCATTTAGATTTTTGAACCATTCATTTTAGATGTGGGGGATTTTATATTTAAAAACAACAGCAATAAAATTAAGATGTAAAAGTCAGTTTAATATCTAGTGAGTATTACTTTTACAGTAGCTCTATACTGGAGACATAGACAAGTCATTGTCTGCGAGTGATGACTTAAATTTACCCTTGTGACCTGTGCAGACCATGATCTGAGCCAGCACATCTGTGCCAGGGAACGTGGTCCACACTGTTCACCATTAAATCAGCACTTACCTAAATCTGATACTAGGAAATGGTTTTCTGAAGATTGACAGACGAAGGAGTCTATTTAAAATATTTAGCATGGTCGGTGACATCTCACCAAATTGAAATTTTAACAAATACACAACAACAATAACAACAACAAAAATGCAACAACAAACATGTAAGATTTGTTATTAAATGTTAAATATTAAGCATGCTTTTGTAATTTAGCAGCCGCTTATTGATTTTTAAGTGTAGTAGTTGTTGGATAATATCATCTTATGTTGGCGCCAGTAAAATTCCAATTGAAGATTTTATGTGCCCGAATTAATATTTTGTCTCATTTTGCGTCATTGGCGAGTAACAGCGGGAACCCTGGTTAAGTTCTTTAAATCATAAACTGGACTTAACTTCTCTGTTACCAGTTCAGTCTTATATAGTGACATAATTTCTTATATTTTTCACTCACTCTTCATCTTTACTATAGTGTCATAGTGAGACTGTTACTGTAATCATATATATCAGTGCTAAATATTTCATTAGAACAAATGCTGTTATATTAGATTACAATATTGTTAGATGTCAGTATGTCATTGCAACATTATCAATGCCCTAGAGTTTTTTTAATCAAGTAATATGTTACTCGTATATGAAAATGCCAATTTAAACTAATTCTTGTCAGGATATGTGTGAATATAGAAACTTTGCAAGCTGGTAAATGAATCACAGAATTTGACCTTCATTTAATGGTTAAAGGTTGTTTTAGTTTTGTATCGGATAGACTAGAAGAAATCAATGTAATGGAAGGGTTCTCTCAATTAGTTATGGATTGGTTTACACCAGGCTGGGATGATCTTTGCCAAGATTCTGTCATTATGTGAATCTAAAATACCCAACCATACTTTATTACATCTGTCAAATCCTCCACCATCCTATCTCTCCATGATTTGTTTACATTGGAGATGAGAAAAAAAAATCCAATTTATCAAAAAGTATTTATTTTCTTTGATCAGTAATGTTTGTCATTAATCTATTAATTCTATTAATGTTTCCAATTAATAAGTATGCATAACGAAAGGCTTTTTAATGGATTAAATTATGTAAATAATAGATAAAAGCAGATATTTCAGCTATGACATAATACAGATATAGTAAAACCTGTGTTTTGAAGAGCCATATCTCTTATGTACAGGCCATTGCCATTAAACATAGTGTTAAGATGGCAATTTGGCTTGTTTTTGGGCTGGAATTAATTTTAAATCAATTTTCAGCCTCTCACTATACCTAAAACTTAAACATTAGTAGTAGTTGCCCCCCTTTGCATTAGTACTAGTTGCTCTCTTTGCATTAGTAATAGTTGCTCCCCTTTGCATGTTATGCTGTCAGAGGCACTATCTTACATTGACATACAATTTAGGTTAAATTGGTAGAGAACATTTACCTTCTTTTGGCTTCTCACTGGGTACGTAATGACTAATGAATCCTTATTAATAATAAATAAGCAAAAACTGATATTGCTTTGTGGTTATTGCTTTTTCCTTGTACTTTTGACAGATCCTGGAACCGAACGAATTTCTAGTGGCCAAATTTCACAACTTTCCAAAAATGGTTGACCTGATTCTGTTCCAAAAAGGGTTGAAAAACATAGCTTCTATATTATTTATTAAGTGGTACTTAGAAATGCTGAATAATTCTGTTTGAAGGGAATGCCTGACAATTAAAAATGATAAAGACACCTTAGATATTTGCACTGAATGGTCTCCATATGAAAGTTTGACTGTGTAAAAAATAAATCTTTTATTTTGCTCATATGAATAAAATAAAACTGATTAAAATTATTCTAAGTTGGTAAACATTTTAGGAACCATCTTGAATATTCTCCGATTGTCATTAGATTAATAACAATGTTACATGTTTGTTGTAATAACGTGAAACCATAAGCTCTCACTATAATTTTATGTGCTTTTACATAGATCAACCATTTTGATAAAATCTGACAAATCTTGTCGGATATGATAATGGTCAGAAGTAATAAGTCAATAATTAATAGGGTATTTATTATTTGAGCCACGTCATGACAAAACCAACGTAATGCGTTTGCGACCAGCATGGATCCAGACCAGCCTGCGCATCCGCGCAGTCTGATCAGGATCCATGCTGTTCGCTTACAAACCCTGTAACAAGTAAAGAAACAGATAGCGAACAGCATGGATCCTGATCAGACTGCACAGATGCGCAGTCTGGTCTAGATCCATGCTGGTCGCAGACGCATTACGTTGGTTTTGTCATGGCGCGGCTCATTTATAAAGAGCCTGCCCAAGTGTACTCTGCGTATTGTCTAAGACTGGAGTACAGCCAGAGTTGGTGTCTCAAGGGTACATCTTCATCATAAAATTTCTGGGACGATATACATTACTTATTTACTCTGGCCTCGAAATTTTTTGCCAATATTGAGGCTTGTTTTTTATTACATGTATTGGTTAATGGTTTTTGGTATATTTCGCTGCTTTTCTTCCTGGATGTGATAAAAGTAAATGATAATTTCATTAAGAATTTACATATGTATGAAGAAGAGAGAGTTCATATAGTTAGGTCATATGTTATTATTATGTTGTAGGCCTCCATTGTAGAGTTAATAATAAGTTTACCTATAAAATTAATGGTAGCTGACTATTATCACATACCTATCCCCTTTAACTGATGAATGTCTGGAGAATTTGATCAAGTCTTAGACTTTGTTGTGGAAAAGCTTAAGAATCCATCAGTGATCTTTGTCAATTTTTGATTAGTGAGTGGAAATTTGATAATAAGGCAAATGCTAGCGTACTTCTGAGTGATATTAAAGTATTTAACTTAGCCATGTACACTGGTTTGACAACTGTTGAACATTTCCAAAATCTGTGGTTGGCCAGCAATTTTACCAAGCACTGGAGTTTGCAAATAGCACTGTTCGAAGGCCTAGGTTCATTTGTCTAAAAATAAATGTTCACTTTGAGGGGATTGTTGTAGAATAATGCACAGTCAGATGTTTCTTATATATTCAAAAAGGCAAATAGTCCTGAATGATTTATTACAAAGGGTTTGAACAATAAACTGCATTTTTGTTCCTAGGCAATTCTAACAAAACATTGTTATCTATTTCTAATCTAATAAGCTAAAATGAAAAAAATGATAAAAATTAAAAACATTGACAGAGGAAATAATTTTCATGAAATTATTTTTGTTGATTTAAATGTCAGATATATTTATTGACATCATATCTGATGTCATATATGACATCATATGTGATGTCATATTTTATGTTAACATTCCTTTCCTTATTTTGTGCATCATCATATAGTAATGCACCCAAGGACAAATAATATTTGATAAGGAAAAAGTATGAATAAGCATGTTAGAATGTTGCTTATTGATTGGGTGGATAAAAATTGTAATATTCTGTATATCAGAGGCTTGCGTATACAGTGTATGTAATACTATTATAACTTTGTGAATTTTTCTCTATATTTTCAGCGGACAATATCAAGAAAGCCCCTAGGAAGTTACCGCGCCAGGACTTCAGTGTGTTTAACCAGCCCGATGATGACAACAAACATATTCTGTCACCTCAACTAACGGTGGCTGCCTTCCAGTTTCTGTCTACATGTATGTATTCTTCTATCAGTTAGACTAAATGCAACACACTAAATACAGTATTTTGATATATACTGCACAAGGTCCTTGTCAGAATGATATATGCTGAAATCTTGCCTTTTCACTTGCAGAAATGTGCTGTAAGACATGTAATTCATGTCTTTATACAAATTTATATACAATAATGAATGAAACATGTAAGAATTAGATAAAAAAAGTGATAATTTTCTACTTTGTGAAGTGTCGAGAAGTACTGCTTCAACACTGTAGTGAGTTAAATCATTCTACTGTACCATGTTCAAATTGAATTAAACAAATTTTTACCAGATACTAGTCAGCAATCAGCTTTGATTATAAATGGGGTTAGTTAAGTTTGACCAGGTGTCACCCCAAAAAAATCATATATGTTCAAAATCAGAATGTTTACTGGTTATAAAATTAATCTTTCTGCTTGGTTTCTAAAATATTTTTTTTTCTAAGGAAAGTCTATGACTTTTTTTGCATGTTTTAACTTTTATTATAATTAAAGTATGTTAAAGTCAGTTGTAAAGGTCACAATAATCCCCCATAGAAGATTTAATAGATCTGAAAAATCTAACTTTCAAAGCTCACATAAGTAACAAACTTGATAGCTTTAACTTTCAAATTAAACTTTAAAAGCTCACATGAATAATAAATCTTCATACATTTCAAAATTAAAAAAATACAAAATAAAGTCTGCCACAAAGCAATTTGCATGAGTTCCTCCAATCAATTGTTTCAAGACAATTATAATTTAGCCAATATCTTCACTCATTTAGCCTTTACTAAGCCAATTTGCCAATAAAAATATGATTATAACACATGAAAACTTGTAAAGGTTATTTTGTCTAAGATCTCTGTATATACAAAGCTTGTATTATTTGTATACATGGACATTAGAGTTGTTTCCTGTCAATGACTTTGCCAACCATCTATCTGTACAGTATTTAATGTCAAATGTAAGTCAATCTATAGTCTTCTCTGAAAACATCACAGACAAGTTACTTTTTTCCTCAAATTACTACATCTTTGTGCTCAGTTGATATAAAAATGTACGTTAAATATTTTGGATCAAGGCAATTTTCTCAGATCTTTATTTGAATGCAAGAAGTGAATATGGAAGGCTTGTGATAAAATTTTCGAGCTAATCTATGTTAATAATAGCATCCAGGTTCTGCAGTTAATCAAAGCTGTCTTTGAGCAGAAGAAGTGAATATGATAGGACTTTATACATGATATGTGTTAAATTAAAGCTTTTTTTCAAATCAGTCCTTGAACATTTTTGTTATAAACATAGTCAGTGTAACAAACAATGAGGTTTTGTGCTTTGCATTTTTCTCTAATCTATACTCACAAGCAGTGAATATGGTAGAACTATTAGAATTTAAGACCTTATCCTGCAGACAGCTATACAGTCATATGCCCCTTTGTGGCTTTAGGGCTTGCACAAATGGTTGAGGCATAAGAATTGCAGCCACCATTTATCCCTGTGTGATCATAAGAGGCGACTTAATGGGTTAAAATAACTAGAGTCTATGCATCTCATAGCTCTAGCAGGTGAGGTGGTTTTGACTCCTGGTGTTGCTTTGAAGTTTGAAACACCTAAGATTAGCCAAATTCATCTTTCCTGTTTCAGCACCATAAGAGATATTTTGTGATTGTGTGCCATAAAACCAAACAAACCAATAAAACCAAACAAACCAATAAAACCAAACAAACCAATAAAATCGAACAAAATCAAACAAACCAATAAACCAAACGAACCAATAAAATCAAACAAACCAATAAAATCAAACAAACTAATAAAACCAAACAAAATCAAACAAACCAATAAAACCAAACAAACCAAACAAACCAAACAAACCAATAAAACCAATTAAAACAAACCAACAAGACAGTCTTACAAGACTCATTATTGTTGTAATTTTAGATTTTCATTTTTTAACCCTTAACATGAATGGACTTGTCCTCTTCCTTTAAAAAAAAATCCTCTCAAAATGTACCAATACAATTGTTCAGTTATTTTGAAATTCATCTTTTAATAGCAAAACACCTTGTCTGCTTGAGTTGATCTTAAATGAAATAGAAATGTCTATATCCAGGTCTTCTTTATTAAACAGTATAGACTATAGTTGATTTAAACTAAGAAACGATGCTCAATAAAAAAAAGAAGAAATTTCTTGTGTCTGAAATTGATTACTGTTTGTTACGAATGCACGTATTGATGTACTCCTTTGATAATTTTGTGTGATGAACAAAGCAATTCAGTTTGTATCGATCAGAATTTAGATAGTTTCATACAACAATTACTGTAATTCTTGTTGCATGCAGTAAATTTGCTAAATTGGTAACAGGCCTTATATGAAACAGTCATGATTATCGCAAATTAGAAAATATAAATATCAGTCAATCTTTTTCAAAAGCAATATCTTAATAGAATTATGTAAGCTTGTTTTTTTTACTTTCTTAACTTGATTGATTATAAATTGATGAATCACCTGGAGTAAGCAGCAGTTCTGAAAATACTTTTTACTAATCTGTGCTAGTATATATTTATTAATTGTTGAAGTTGAATGAAATTTAAAAAAAAACAAACCTATTATTTCTTGTCAGAATTCACACTGTATAAAGAAAAAAATTCTTGTAGAAGAGGTTCATGGCTGAGTGGTTAAGGTCTTTGACTTTAAACCACTTGCCTGTCACGGATGTTGGTTTGAATCCAGCCAGGGACTTTGGATTCTTTCATGGCTGTCCAGATAAATTACCAAATGTCGGTGGTTCTACTCAGGTACCAAGTTGTGCTTGGAACCATGAACAGAAGGGCACCTGAGGTCTTCCTCCACTAGTAAAGCTGGAAAGTTGCCGTATGATTACTATATTGGTGCAACATAAAACTCAACCCCAAAAAAAACTACTGGTTTTAATTAATGATGAAATATTTAAATTTCTATTTACTTTCAGCTTGGTACTATAGTTAACATTCATGATTTTAAAATACTTTTATTATTCAACACAAAAGTGATGTATGCTTTCCTTTAATTATTTGGCTTCCTTTCAAAGGTAATTATACTACAAATACAAATTCATCACTGTTAACATTATTTATTATTTAAATTTCAGCAGTGGAACCTTTCCTGTCCAAGTATATATCAGAGACTGTACTAAGGAAACTGATCAAACAGAATATAGTGGTGGAACTCAACCCAAATAATGATGAGAACAACTGTATCATTAGAGAAGGTGTACCATGTGATTACTTTGTTCTTGTCCTGCAAGGTATGTGACCACTAAATCCTTAAAAATAGTCTTCAGTTGTGGCATTAAGATATGATATCATTGGACTACTTTGTTCTTGTCCTGCAAGGTATGTGACCACTAAATCCTTAAAAATAGTCTTCAGTTGTGGCATTAAGATATGATATCATGTGAGTACTTTGTTGTTGTTATACCCCCACAAACGAAGTTTAGGGAGGTATATAGGAGTCAGTTTGTTGGTCGGTCCACATCATGGTTTCAGGCTGAAAACTAAAGTTTGGAAAGAGGTATTGTAATCAAACTTGGTATATAGCAACCATATGTTGAAACCCCGGTTGGTATTGCATTTGGACCCCCTGGGGTCAAGGTCACCGTTACTTAAATAGAAAAATGGTTTCTGGACAAAAACTAGAGTAAGAAATGAGATATTGTAATCAAACTTTGTGTATAGCAAGCTTATATGAAGACCCTGGTTAGTATTGCATTTGGACCAACTGGGGTCAAGGTCACCATTACTAAAAATAGAAAAATTGGTTTCTGGACAATTACTAGAGATAAGAATGAGATAATGTAATCAAACCTGGTTTATTGCAAGTTTATATGAAGATCCTGGTTGGGATTGAAATTAATTGAAATAATTCTTTGTTCACCGTGGATACTTCATTTACTATAGGTTGAGTTCAAATTTTTCTTCAGACCACTTATTTTTCAAAAAGTCAAAGTTGCTGGTGGGGTCACTAAACACCTTCAGTGATAGCTCTAGTTATTATTGTTATTGGCACCAGATATTCCTTTTTGTCAGTAGAATATGATTTTTTGGGAATACTTTTTTTGTGTGTATGTGACAAACAAAATTTAATCAGTTATAAATTTTGCCACATGAAGAATGCTTGACACATAAGCAGACCTTACATATTTAATTGGTTTTAACTTTGATGTTAAATAAAAAATGGTGATATACATAATAGCATATGTTTTAATTATTGTTTTAATTAATATGCAGATTTAATGCAGCTTTTTCTCTGACTCATTATTTTACTCTTTTGTCGATTATGTTTTGACATACATTTGTTTACTAATGAGGGAGGAGGGTGAGATGGGTGTAATGTGTATGCCATGCAGTCTGGAAACTCAGTGGATAAATCAAGTCCCAGTCGGGCTGCATATTTTTCTCACACTGTGACTTTGTTTGTTTGTTTGATTGATTGGGTTTAACATCACACCGACACAGTATAAGTCATATGGCGATGTTCCAGCTTAACAGGTGGAGGAAGACCTCAGGTGTCCTTCCATGCATTATTTCAGGCCCAAACCAGCACCTGAGTAGAACCATCGACGTTCTGTAAGCTAGTTGGATAGCTTCCTCACATGAAAGAATCCAAAGTCCCTGTGGGGATTCGAACCCACAGCCAATTATAAACTAAATAACTAAATATCTTGAATGCTATGAACTTACAATACTGACATTCCTAATAGTGCCAGACCAACCTGCACAGTCTGACCAAGCTCTAGTACTGTAGACTGCACAAAATTTAGCATTTTCATCTTGACATATCTCCTTAAATTTTTCAATGGACAGTTATAATCTTGCCAGGACAAGTCCATTTTATATGTACATGTATTTTGTAGTGTAATAGGTTTTGATAAAGTCAGTAGTTTGATAAATGTGTAGTTAAACGGAAATGCTTAGGGCAGCCAGGGCAGCTGACAGTTTCTATTTTTGTCCAGAGCATATCTCCAATATGCATGTAGGGATTTTAGTATTATATGATACTACTGTTCTCCATCATGACAATATTATGTTGCATGCTTGAACTAGGTCAGTAGGTCAAAGGTCATGGTTACATCTAGAGGTCAGAGAAAAAAAATGACTTCAGTACATCTGTGTCAGTGTGCAAAATTTTTACAACATTTACATTGTTATATACCTAAAGGCATGACAATACTTTGCTTGTAGCATCAACTTGTGCTCCTCTACAAGAATTATGTAAATCATAAACCTTGGGTCAAAGTTGATCCTGCCCAAAAGTCAAAAGTTTATATGGATAAGCTGTAATATATAGGAAAACAAATTTAAATCTTCTTGTGGAAAATTTTAGTACATACAGCTTAGACTTTTGCCATGTAACTTAATATATGAATAACATCTGCCATGGATCACAAAGTATCATAAGGATTACTGATGTAAATTATATTTCAGATAGCTCTCTTCTGTTTGAAAGATTATTTTTTATTGCTCAAACAAATTTGCATCGGGGTGTTTACTTTTTGCTCGACCCTTATGGTACTTTTATTATCCACTTTTGTTAACTACATTTGTATTATGCCCACATCTAAAACTTTTTGTAAAATATTTTGTGACAGTGATACAAAAATTGAAAAGAAAAACAGAATCCTTTTTGCTTTCTTAGAATGTGTGTTTTCAGTTATTTCAATTGAAAATGAAAGAATGACTAAAAACTCTAAAAAATATGTGTTTACACTGAAGTTTGTAAAGTGTTTTTTTCAATTCTCCTGAAAGTACTTTGTGCAATTAAACCATTCAATACTTATGATTTAAAAGGAAGTTATTTTCACACATGATTTGGTACTTTTATTTGATTTTTGTTTCTAAAATGGTTTTCAAACAATAATATTTCCATATTGGTTTGTTTAGGGTGTTTTTGAATATTTAGAGAAGATGGTTTACTTTGAATAGAAGGGAGGTAATGCTCACATTTACCATTCTAAGACTGACTTGATTAAGTCCCTTGAATATGTACAAGATTTCACTGAGTACATGTGAATTAAAGTTATTTGAATATATTTATTTTGTTACAATTCAGTATTTCTTTATTTGAACAAGTTAAAATAATAAATTAGATACTTGAATGTTTATATCTATTTATTTAAACAAATCTAATTTATAAAAGTAACATTCCTTTATGGCTGTGGGTTCAAATTCTGTACACAATTTTCCTTTTTATGTGTTAAAGCTCTCTATGAAGTACATTGAAGCTTATAGAAGGTAAATGTTCCTACTCAGATGCCCATCAAATCTTCATCAATAATAATGCGTTTGTTTTGATTAACAGAACCAATGATAGAATTATTATCTGCATCAGTGGTTCTACTTAGGTACCCATCTGTGCCTGGCTCTATATTGGTGGCACCACTTGCCCCTCACTGCTATGGGTTCGAATCCCGACATGTGAGGAAGCTATTCCACTAGCTTACAGAACGTCGGTGGTTCTACTCAGGTGCCCGTTCGTGCCTGAAATAATGCAGGGAAGGGCACCTGAGGTCTTCCTTCATCAGTAAAGCTGGAATGTCGCCATATGACCTATACTGTGTCGGTGTGACGTAAAACCCAATCAAACAAACAAACAGACATATTGGTGGCAAGGACTAAACACTTTAACTTCCAGCAACGCAAGTGCCAAGCTTCTCAAATAAGATGTCAGTTATCTGCTGTAAATGATTGGTGTTTTTATATGTGTTCTCTTTTCATTACAGGCCATGTGGAGGTATTCATTGGAAGAGAAAATTTGGTATTCCAGGGTGGACCATTTTCTTATTATGGAGTGAAGGCCTTGAGTAAGTAAAGCATAAGGGACTTATTTTGCTATGTTTGAAATATATTAGTTAACTGACCAATCTATTTTTATCTGGACAACACTGTCCATCATTTTTTAGGGAAAATTTCAAAATAAGTATTGTTTAAATAGAGAACAGTGCAGACCATGATTAGGCAGGAGAATAAGCCGGCTGATCTTGGTATGCAGTCTGGCCCCATTGGTACAATAGTATCAGTTGTCACAAGCAGGCTAACAGTTAAAATGTGATAAGAAATATGGTTATTTATTCACAGTTATACAGAAATGTTCGAAGTTCAATAAAAGTTGATTTTTATTTATACCAAATAATGGTAGTGAAATTTCAGACTCTAATGCTGTTAATTGCAAATGCCGAAAGTAGTCCGCTTTTTTGAAGCGGTTACTTCCCTTTATATGTACACTAACGGCCGAAAAATTCAGGGGAGATCACTGCGTAAAGATGGTCCGATGACAGGCGCATTAATTTTCAAGCAAAATAATTCCCGAATGGTCGAAGATTTCTAATATTCTTTCATTCTTTATATATATACATGCTTATAGTAAGCTCCATGATTATTTACAACAGTCAGCGTCGTTACAAACCCTAATTTAGAATAATATGGTTTTCTTCAAGCCGTTAAACATATAAATTCACCGTGGGCGAGGGGTTTGCGCGCTCGCTTAGGAAGCGAGAGGTCTGGAGTTCAAAACCCAGTTAAGGCAACTCATTTTTTTTCAAATTGTTACAAGTCAAATAAACATTGGATTGAATATCAGTGTTGCAATTAGTTTATTACAATTAAAACGCTGAAAAGCATTGGTAGCACTATACAAAAACAAATTGGTGTATAATCTCACAACCTGCACCTTTCTTACATTCTGAGACCCAAACAAATTCAGCACCTTCTGTGCTTTGATTCATAGAATGTGGTGAATAATTTACAGAATGATTTTAAGAAAACGACAAATTCTGTGACAGAAGTATCAAATTATGAGAAACAGCAGAATTATTGATATATTTATTACATTTATAGAGTAACATCATACATGTAGTTATATTAAGTGCACAATTACCCTATCTCAGTAGGACATAAATTTCAACTGAAAAAAACCAACTCAGCAGGGATATTCTGCTTTATATTTATTAAATTACTCAACCTGCACTGGTGTTGACTTGTTGTATTTCTTTATTACTTTCTTATTTTGATTACAATGTACTTTATATAGAGTATAATTTGAGAAAAAAGGTAATAATTACACTACAGCAGTAAAAATTAAACAAAAAAAAATGAGATCTTTTATTTTATGATATTGGAAAGAAAGATAACTTGTAAGTTTCCAGTTCTTGTCCCTATTAATCAGACTCCCTAAACCTAAGAAATTTCTCAGCAATTGCATCTTACTGAGTTTCTCATGATCGCAGTACAATTTCTGCATTGATTGATCCCTGTTACTGGTGAATGTCTATTGTAATACAGTTTTACAGTAGCATGGAAATATTTTTTTCAATTTTATGAAAAAATGTCACCCGAGTATAGCAATAACACCTGTGACCCGCATAAATATCTATGAATATCCTTTGGAAGTTATCGGAAATGTTCAATTTATAAGAAGAGTGAGGCAGTCTTTTTATATTTTAGGCAGTTTTCATATTTTAATTCTTTAAACATTTGTAATTATCAATTATTATTCATTTGCCATTAAAAAAGTCAGTCTTTTGAAATATACAACTAATTTTTATCTCAGCTTATAATTGATAAAATGAGTTTAATGCCACTTTATAATACCTGCTGTTAAATGACTTATGTATTGTTTAGTCAGCTCAGTAGAACACAAACAAATGATATAATTAATGATAAATGTTTATTTACAGACATTAGTGAGAAGGTATTGTCCCCATCCTCGTGCACAGACAGTATGTACGTGAAACATGAACAGTACATCCCGGACTTCACGTTGAAGGCTACAGAGAGCCTTCTTTTCCTGCGAATCACACGCCCGCAATATATCGTAGCGCGCCGAGCTACAATGATGGGTCTGTCCAAGCAAAATACCATGAAAGATGACGAGGCATTCACTAAGGAATGGACGCATCTGTCCAAAATTAACCAGTGTAACAACGCGAAAAACGCGTTCCCGGCCGATGTCCATCATTCCAGTGATAACAAGTTGGAGGATGCAAAGAATGAGGATAACTTAAATCATTCTTTCTCCAGTAAAAGTAGCATCGGTGTGATGAAAAGAACCGATAGTAAAGATTCTGGCTGGAATTTTTCGACTTCGGAGAAACCGGTCGATACGTCAGAAAGTGACTTGGAGCAAGTTGAAATTATGCTTAAAGAATCGAAGAAGGAGAAAAGTGACTCGAAAAGTGAAAATTCTAGTTTAGATAGAAATCTTGAGAGTGCAGATCATGAAAGAACTAGAAATGGTGGTCAAAGAAACGCAGCTGATGTGATTGTTAATATGAACGTGTCAAAGCAGTGTGATACTTCTAGAGACCACGATGACGAGTACACGTCGGGGGAGTTCACTCCGTTGGTAGACAGAAAATCTAAGCAGAATCATGCAAGTGGAGATTCTTGATAAATATCAAATTTCGTCGAAATATGTACTGGTAGAATGTGTTGAACTGGTAGCAGTTGTTGATTGATGTAGAACTTGTTGATTTTTGGAAATTGAATGTTATCGTTAGGTATCTATTTTAACAAAATGCTGCTAGATTTTTATGGTTGCATATTGTGGTTTAATTTTTTTTCTTAGGACATAGTTTATGTTTAATGTGCATTCAGATTTTTTTTTATGCTGCATGTTTGTTATATTAGTATCAAAAAGTATTTATCATTTATCATCATTCTATGTTTTAAAAACAGGTGTTTAAAAATAGAAAAGCAATACAAATTCAGGAATTTGTCGATGGTTACTATGAATTTTTTGTGTTTTAGTTTTGTTAAAAATTTTGTAGATTTTAATAGATTATAGTTTTGAAAAGTTTAAAGTATTTAATTTTGAAATTTGTTTAAATTTCAACCCCAAATTATGGAGAAAATTGCAATTTAAATTTGAATGGACAGGTCTTGCCAAGGAAAGTGTAATGAGTTGTTCTAGATACCATGTTAACCATGACCATGTTAAATATCTTAAATGTCAGAATTAGTACTGACTGAATATAGTGTAGCAATACCATGTGACCTTGACGTCATTTTCGACATCATTTCCAAGACAAATATTGCCCGATTGGGAAAATCATAAACTTGCCACAGAATATTTGATCTCCTTCAGTATATGAGCAGTTTTGTCAAACAAACACTTCGTATAAACTGAAATCCGCTCTAATACAAACAACTTCCATGATTATACAAAGTGTTTGATAAAATGGCTCAGATACTAAAGGAGATCCAATATTCTGTGGCAAGTTTATATTTTTCACTGTAAACTGGTGCATGTCCAAAAGATATTGGTATAGAAATAAAATACTTACAGCCATTTTCTTTTTCGAATCAAGCAAAATTTGTCTTGGCAATGTTGCCGAAAATGACGTCAAGGTCACATGGTATTGCTGCAGTGTGAGCACTGGGAACAGTGAAGACCAATGTCAGATGGCACAGAAGTGCTGGCACAGATCTTGGTTTACATTTTTCATATAGGCAGAATCTGATGCAGGCTGAAGGTAGAATATATAAAAAATAAATTCAAATATTCAGATTACTGTTTTAGACAGTTTAACTTTGTGTTGAACACAAAAATTAAACATTTTTTCCCTAAAATCAAACTTGTTTTATACGGAATGTTTTGTAAACGACTACTTTTTTTCTCTTGTTGAGTGAAAATCTAGTAATGTACTTTGTTGAAATAGATCATATCATTTGTTAAGAATATGTTAGTTGTAAATATGTTAAAGAGTGTTTTATAGTCTATATTATAATGTTAATGTACTTATTGTATTTGTCTGTATTCTCTAGATGACCAGCTTTTTTTTTCTGCACAAGTGTGTGTTTTTGAAACGTAATTACATAAAGCCAAGATTTTTTTTTTAGTTTTTTTTTAGAAGCTATATTTTTTTTTTGCTCATTCAGCTAAATTCACTAGAGCAAACATTTTTTGCATTATTTCACCTCCACATTAAGATGTTAGAATGTCTCACTTTATAAAATCATTTTGTTTATCAAACATAATTGAAGAAGATGTAGTAGTGGTTTGAAGCCTGATGAACAATTTTGTTTTGGTGATGTGATACCTACAAATCATCTTTTTAGCAGTATTCACTTTATAAAGAATGTTTTTAGTGGTTTGATGCCTGATAAACTCACTTTTAGTTGTTTGAAGCCGAATAATAAGAACCAGTTAAGTTAATGGTGTTGGTTTTCTATATGAAAATTTTGTTTGGTCTGAATCTTGATAAACATTAAATCATAATTTTTTTTTTTACGTAAGTATTTTACAATATGGGCAATTTTAGAAGTAAAATATTCAGTCTTGTTACTAACTAGATATTGTAACTACACTTGAAGCTTAAATGTTTGTTCACATATTTGTCAGTCATCACTGTGTATTTTTGGTAGCAAAAAGTCTTCGTTTTTCTGTTCTTATTTATCTTTGTATGAGATGAAATCATGTGAATATACACAATATAATCAGGAACCTTTATTATGTATACAATATTTGAGCCGCGTCACGACAAAACCAACGTAATGCGTTTACAACCAGCATGGATCCAGACCAGCCTGCGCTTCTGCGCAGTCTGATCAGGGTCCATGCTGTTTGCTATCAGTTTCTCTACTTGTAATAGGGTTGGTAAGTGAACAGTATGGATCAATCCTTTCAATTAAATACAAACATTCTTTTATTATATGAGCCGCGCCATAACAAACTGATATGATCAGACTGCGCAGATGCGCAAGCTGGTCTGGATCCATGCTGGTCGCAAACCCATTATGTTGGTTTTATCGTGACACGGCTCTTTGTTTTTTTTCTCTTACAATGTTTTCTCTTATAAAAAAATGTGTGTGCTGTGATGAAAAAACAAAAATTTAGCAATGATTTTTGAAGAAATGTTGTGACGGCATGGCCGAGTGGTTAATGCATCAAGACTAGTAATTTAATGATCGCTAGCCGCATGGGTTCAAACCCCGTCAGGGGCAGGTCGTTGTTTCCTTTAGCAAGAAACTTTACACTCATTGCTCCGTACTGGTAGGTTCCAGGAACAGATTCAAAAGTGTGTCTATAAGCTTATAGCTTCCTACACAATCGAACTAAAATAAATTCTGTATAAACCTAGAAATGTTGTTTAGACTTCTCCTTTTATTGATATATATATATAATTCAAAACAATATATTTTTATTGTTAAATTATTTTTTTTCTTATGAAAGTAAGTAATGAAAACTGTAGAGTTTAGACATATAGCAGGAAAATAATGTTACATGCATAAAATGAGTAACAATTTATTTCTGTCCCTTTATTCTTGAATTGTAGTCATTTTTTAGCTGCACACCTCTAAATGAATGTTAATTTTTTATGAAAAATTAAATTTATAGAAAGTGTTAAAATAAAAAAAAAAACCAGATAAGCAAAGTTGATTGAATAATATTTCAAATAAAAGTTTGGGAACAGTATAAGAAGTTTGCTTGTTTGGCTGTTACCGGTATGAGGATTTTAGCACATTTTTGGTCATATCTTGGCGGTTGGTACACCTAACCAGCTTTCCTGGTTAACTAGCCACTGGTTAACTAGCCAGTAATCACCAACTTCTTGTAAGTGACCGACTTCTTAAGATTTCTGAATCAATGGTGAGAATGATATGACCATTATACTTGATGTCTCTGATCAATTGTTACAGAGAAAATTTTAAATTATTACTATAATTCTCAAAAAATTAAACTCAAGAAATATATGTTTATAGGATAAGAAACGTATAGATATTCACAAGTCAGGTGGAATTTGCGAATACATCATGTTACTGAATGTACTGCTTTTGATATTACCGTAAAATTCCTATTAAACGCCGCCCCGCCCCCCCCCCCCCCCCCCCCCTAAAATGGATTCTGAAGGATTTGAATAAAATTATCAATTTACAGTCATGAGTTCAGCACTGATGAGTAGATATTTTCCATATCAAAAAAGCCTAGGGGGCCTTTATTAGGAGAGGGGCGTTTATTAGAAATTTAACTGTATATTATATATTTGATATTGTTTGAGTGGGAGAATTTTCTGCACATTTTGAGAAAAAATATATTGATAATTTCTGTTTATAGAAGGTACCTAAGTCCAAAAAATATCTCTTAATTTTCACACCGGACAACATATTTACTCATTAGAATAATTTTTCATGTTTTCTTGAAAATTAACATAAATCTATAGGTGTGCTGCATAACTGATAGATCCTATGAATGGACCAATTACTCACTGTTAGATACCTCAGTTTTTATTTCTTCTTGAAATGATATTGTTTTATTTGTTGATCTCATTTTATCTATGGAATTGGGAAACACTGTTTAATCAAGGACAGTATCTATACATGCACAATTTATGTTAACACTTAGATGTATATAACTGGCATTTAATATAACTGGCACATAAATACTTTACTGTACATACTTATTGTCCATAGAGCTGTCATGGTTCAAAATTTGGAAAACTACATATTTATGCTTTATAGAACTGTCATGGTCCAAAATTTTCACGTAGGAAACCTGTACATGTTTATGGTCTATAGAACTGTCATGATCCAAAATTTTCACATAGGAAAACTGTACATGTTTATACTCTATAGAACTGTCATGATCCAAAATTTTCACGTAAGAAAACTGTACATGTTTATGGTCTATAGAACTGTCATGGTCCAAAATTTTCACATAGGAAAACTGTACATGTTTATACTCTATAGAACTGTCATGATCCAAAATTTTCACATAGGAAAACTGTACATGTTTATGGTCTATAGAACACTGTCATGGTCCAAAATTTTCACATAGGAACACTGTACATGTTTATACTCTATAGAACTGTCATGATCCAAAATGTTCAAGTAGAAAACCTGTTCATGTCTATGATCTATATAAATGTCATGATCCAAAATTTTCACGTAAGAAAACTGTACATGTTTATGGTCAATAGAACTGTCATGGTCCAAAATTTTCATGAGGGAAACTGTACATGTATATTGTCCATAGAACCATCATGGTCCAAAATTTTCATGAGGGAAACTGTACATGTTTATGGTCAATAGAACTGTCATGGTCCAAAATTTTCCATAGGAAAACTGACCATGTTTATATTCTATAGAACTGTCATGGTCCAAAATTTTCACATATGAATATTGTACATGTCTATGAACCATAGACTGTCATAATCCAAATTTAATAATAAAAAGAAAAGAAATTTACTGTTCTATTTCCCTTAGAATTTTCATTGTCCAAATTTTCATTAAGAAAATGCAGTTAATTGTTAAAAGAAAATATACATATTTAGTGACTATAGAGAACTGTCATGGTCCAAATTGTCATTTATAAACTGCAATACATTATTGAATTTGGAACAATTTACGAATTCAATTGGAGTGATAAAGCAACAAAAAACCTCAATGCTGACCTCCCTAAACTGATACAATACACTTGCCTATCTTTCTCTGTGGGTCTGTCCATTGTCATTTAAAGGGTTGTAGTATTATAAAACTTGAATATTTTCTGGTCAAACTGCATAGATGTATTGCAGCTTAACTTTTGGTGAAAAAAGGGGGGAAAAGGGAAGAAAATTTGTCATTTAATTAAACTTTGATATTTTTTTTATTGTACTAATGAATCAGTAATTTATTCATGTTACAATGAACTAGTCTATTTTGTTGGTGTTTTAGTTAAATGGAGTTAGTTTAAGATAATTGTTTATTTACATGATTTAATTGTTTGTTTTGTAAGTTAAGAAATTCATTTTTTAAAGATCTCAGTTAATTTTTTTTTTCATTTTTCAGGTACAGTAAATGTGTAATTTTTGGTAGAAATGAATTGTAATAGTACCAAATTTT